AGCTTGAATTTGCATATGAGTAGTTGGTGGTCTGTTCCACAATCAGCTCCTGGCCTAGTTTTCACAGCTGATATTGAGCTTCTCCAGCAGTTCTTTCCACAGATGTAATCGATCTGATTCCTATGCATACCATCAGGTGACAGATAGTAGTTATTTTAAAACATATTTTTCCTTCAGTTATATGTCTGTAACCATAATTATCACCTGGATGCTCTACTGCTAGCTGAAAGGTTGATGGTTCAAACTTACCTGGAGGCACCTCAGAAATAGACCTGGGCCTTTTCTTTAGAAAGGTCACAGCTGTGAAAACTCTATGGAACAGTTCTACTGCACATATCTGTGTTCACCATGAGTGGGGACTGACTTGATAACTGCTGAAGACAACAAGTCAAAATTGTAAAAAACCAACTCGATACCTTTTGAAATGGAATTCGGCTGTACTGTCAGATTTGTCTTGGTGAGGTAGAGAATCGTGACTTCATCTTTATAAATCTTGTTTTGGTTTCTTGTTGAAAGAATTATTTTTTAAAAATATCACAACATGAGGAAGCTCTGGTGGCCTAGTGGCAAGAAGCTGCACTGCAGTCCCAGAGGTGTGCGGTTCAAATCCGCCAGACATTCCTCCGGAGAAGGAGGGACAAGCTCCTTCTGTACCAGTCGGATCCGATTTGACGGTACATGCACAAAAAGTAATAAAATAAAAAATTTAAAAAAAAATCACAACATGAGACTTCCACATTAAATATATGTATACAGCATTACTAGATAATTTTAAATTTCAAATTTATTGTGCAACCATCAATTCTTTTATTAATGACAATTTTTTTTAATGTGAAACAGTTATTTTACTTACATGATAGTTCTATTCAGTATAAAGTCTTTCCTGAAAAAAATCATTATGCTTAAAGGTTGATTTAGTCTCTGGAAATTAGTGTTTTGTTAGTGAATTTATTTAGCAACTTATTGTAAATTTACACATGGCCTGATTATACTATAACATCACCAATTTTGGAGATCAATGTTGTTGCTTTTCACATCCATAAAACAAATATTTGCATCAAGGAATTGTTCATAAGCAGAAGATAGTTGTCACTTATAATGTACTTTAAAGCTATAAATAACTTCTTTGCAACTCATGATGTTTGGTTTCTTATAGGTTCGGATATTAAAGGAAGCACCATTGTGCCAGAATCTGAAATCTCAAATTCTTATGAAGATCAGTCCTCTTATTTTTTTGAAAAATACTCCAAGGATCTTTTAGTTGAGGTAAAGACACTTCTGAAAAGTCAGTCCCTTCTATGATAGTCTTTATTTTTATTGTTTTGTTGTTGTTAAAATGCATAGAACAATAGAAAAACAGAATTTTAACACTTACATCCACTATTGATGTCATATCTTACTGTCATCCTAATATGTGGCTTTTTACACATTAGGGCCTGGTTGAGATATTGCACCAAGACTTGTCAGGTGTTGAAGTGGAGGAACTCCATCATGCGTACCTGAAACCTTTCCGCATCCTCATCAGCCTGCTTGACAAGCCAGAAATAGGTAAATGCTGGGATCCTTGGACATGAAAAGAGATAGCATGCTAGACCACTAACCAACAGGTTGTAAGTCCAAATCCATCCAGGAGCATCTCGGAAAAAGATCTAGGTTTATATCTGAAAAAAATCAGTGTTTGAAACCCCTGTGACCTGCAGTTCTCCTATAATGCATAAGGGGGGGGGGGCGCCAAGAATAAGCATCACCTGGACAGCTCCTAGTTTTAAGAAACAGGCTATTTTCTGGCACAAAGGTACCTTCATAGTTCAAATATAGGTTAATGGTTTTCATGTAATTAAAATACAGTAACACAGTCAGTGAATAATTTTTAACATAATGTAATCTTTGTGATTTTATGTGGTTTTATGTGAGCTCTTCATCAAGAGGCCAATAAGTGGTTTTGCTCCAATAATTTTAGTATTTTGGTTAATGAAATACCTTTGCGTTCCCACTGTGTACATCTGTCTATGTGTGTACCTAAAGAACACGTACAGTAATTTCCTTTTTTGAAAATGTTTCTTCAATCTTTGAACTTAGAATTTATTTTCAAATAAATTGGCCCCCCTTCTTCAGCTTTTCACCTCATGTCTTTCTGCCATTTGGTCCTCAGTCCTTTCCTCTCTAAAATGAAAGTTTTAACTGGACTCTGGGCTCCACTTACACTGTAGTCCTGTGAGAATGTAGTGAGAAAAGTGATCTTCTCTACTCTGCTGTAAGGAAACGGCTGTGCCATCGGTCCACTGTAACAGCCTGGCCAACAGGTAGTCTCTTGAAAGGCACATTGGGGAAAGCAGCCCCATTTTTTCCAACTGGAATTCAACTGCCTTTTCTGCCCAGGATGTCCTCACAGATAGATATGTAATTACTACTCTCGAAGAACACAAGAGCTGAGGACGTTAGCAAGATGAATTGCTTTTCTCTGACCTAAGATGAGACCATTCACGTGTTCACACACAAGGAGGTGTGGGACATCGGCTGTGTGGCAGGCACAGTGCCAGGCTCTGGGGAGTGTAGAGGGATGGAAAGGTTCCTCGTCAGGTGAACTGAAGACTGACTCTGATCCTGCTCTGTTTTCACTGTTGTTAATATTAAGGGCTGACTTTTTAACACTTCTGTGGTGCCAAGTGATGCGTATGTATCATGTAATGTCATTGTCTAGAAACTCTGAGATGTAGTTTTTATACTGATTTTATTCAGAGAGGCTAAGGTAGAGTAAGACACTAGTCTGAATCACCCATGAGCTGGGTTGAAAGTTGATTTGTTTGACTTCAAGTTTTAATAAGCTCTCTTCATCATGCTCTTGCGCTTTTCTGGTTACACACAGGCACCATACCATAGAGGCTTACTTGTATAGCAAAAATGAGTTTTTTATTTAAAAAAAATTTATTGTGGTAAAATATATATACAGTGCCATTTGTGAGAGCCAGAACTCAGCAAGATGGCCTTGTTTTTCCGCATCTCACAAGCTTTCCACCTTTGACAGGATACGGTCTTGCCTCTATTCTGTCACTCTTTAGATTGAAAAGTATTTACATTTTCCTTCTGTGACAGGTTTCTCCCTTATATATATTTAGATTTTTCTGTATAGCAAAGAATAAAACATTTGCCATGTCAGCAATATATATATGTGCCTGATTCAAGGACATTGATTACATTTATCATGTTGTATAGCCATCACCACTATCATTTCCCAGATTATTCAACCACCAATAGCAGAAGCACAATGCTGCCTCGTCAACCTTTTTATAACTAATTAATAACCTTTTACTTTTATGTTTGCCTCTTTGGTGTATTACCTTGCAGTATTTGCCCTTTTGTGACAGTCCTTCACTCAGCATAATGCTCCCACAATTCATCCATGGTATGCTAAGTCCCGGTAGCATGTGTATCAGGACTCCATTCTCCTTATGGCCGAGTACTGGGCACCCCAATTGGTTTATCCTTTGATCTGCTGATGGAATTTGGGTTGGCGTCACCTTTTGGCTGTTGTGAACAAAGTTGCAACGGACAGTGATCTAAGAAAGATGAAGGCGTATTCCACAGCACATACAATTCTCCTGTTTCTTCGCCATGATTCAAGGCATCAGCATTTGTATAGAAATTCCTTTAAGTTTTACATCTAAGTACTGTCTAAAGGCACTTTGCACACAGGATTTCCCTGCCTCCCACCCCTTCCCTCTCTTTCCACCGCCACCAGTCAGCCACAGCTCATAAAGACTTTTCTCCGGGTGTGTGTGGAGTGACTCCCACTTTGAAGAGTCATGGCTTAAATGAAAAACAGAACCGATGCATTGGCCACTTGCTGTGTAACTTAGGGAAGTGCTGTTCAAACATGAAAATAAGACTCAGCAATTTGGAAATGGATGTTTCATTTCAAGGCTAATTCTCAATGAGACAACCAGGTTGAGAGTTGCTGGTAGCTTGGGTTCAGGGAGCATTTTCCAGGAGGATTGAGTGGCCAGCTTCCTCAAGTGGTTAGCTGCCCTCACGTCAGCCCCTGACTCATGGCAACTCGTGCACAGCTCAACAGAACACTGCTTGGTCCTGTGAGGTCCGACTATTAACGATCCACAGGGTTTTCATTGGCTCATTTTTGTACAGACAGTGCTAGGCCTTTTGTCCTAGAATCTTACTCTGAAGCTTCGCTGAAACTTGTCGAGCATCAGAACAACATACAGATCCACACTGACAGACAGGCTGTGACTCTGCACAAGCTGTACGGGCAGGAATCTGGCCTGCGTGGATATTGACGCTGCACTGTCTCATAGTATAGCTAACGTAAATGTTTCTAATGTGCTGGTGTTTTTTGTTTGTTTTTTGCCAACCATGTCGTCATTATGCACTTCTTTTGTAAGGATGCTGTGCCCCAAACTGTGCGTGGGTATCATTTACATGGATGTCTTATTTATGGAAAATCTGGTATGCAAGAGAAAAAGAGTAGGTTATAGGGCACTCTGAGCTGGAAAGCACAGGACAGAGTGCCTTCTCTCTTAATGCTAGAGGGAAAATAGAACTTATCATCAAGAAATTTTCTCAGGGCACCTCCTGTTTTTGTGAAAATAGTATATAACCCATTGGGTCAGTTGACAGAGGTTTCATTTCCTCTCTGCACAGGATGAGACCCCACTCCCTTGGCCGGCTGTTAGTTGCTGCTGGTGAGGCGGAAGTGTCCTACTGATTCCACCTGCCTGATTGGCAAGGATGTTTCTCCTGTCTGCAGCTCATCCAATTCTCTTTGTTGTCTTAGTGACCTTTTCTGGATCTGTGCTCCTTTGTTTTGTCCTGGTTCTTGATTGAGAGAATTCAAAATAGGGAAGTTACCTTACTAAGAACATACTTATATTGATAAATGTCCCTGTACAACCAGTTTTTACATGTGAAACACTTAGCAGAGTCCTTGAATGGTGAAAATAGACAAACACTTGCCTCCTCACCAAAAATTAGTTTCAAGCCACCCAAAGGCTATTTGGAAGAAAGTCCTGGGAGTCTACTCTCATAAGTCGGAGTCAGCTCAGTAGCAATTGGTGTCTTATCCAGGTGACTCAGAGGCTTGCCTGCTGGGTTTCAGTCCAGTATAGGCACATGACTTAACTTCACCTGGGCAGAAGTTGGGTTTGTTTTTTTTTGTTGTTGTTGTTGTTTTCATTATTTGCTGAGAAAATTAACTCAATCATAATCTATTAAATGTTTGGAACAAAGCCCAGCACATAATGAGCATTCGAGCAAGCTAATGATGCCTTAGGGAACTCTGGTAACGTAGAGGGTAGGGAGTCACACTGCCAGCCCAAAAGCACATGGTTCAAATCTACCAGCTGATCTTCAGGCAGTCCCTTCCTGTATGATTTACAGCCTCTGAAAACCCACTGGAGGGTCAGCTATGAGTTGGTTCCAACTCAACAGCAATGAGTTTGAGGGGTTTTTGAGGGCTGATGTAGCAGAGATCTATTAAGTGGATGTCATTAATGAGCAGGAATTAATTTTCTCAAAATTTAGGATCTAGCAGGTAGCATTCAGGGCACCACCCCTAAGGGAAAGCGCACTCTCGCTCTCTCTCTCTACCCCCCCTTCCCTCCCTCACCCTTCTTCCTCCTTTCCTCCCTCCTGCGGCGCCCCCCTCCCCCTTTCTTCTCTTACTCCCTCTTTCCCTCTGTGAGAGATCTCTGTCTCTTTGGTTCAGGTAGCTCTTGTGTTCCTCCATTCCTTTGTGATCTTCATGTGACATCTACCTTCCCCCCATTTTTTTTCTTTTGTGTATCTAACTGGCTCTTTGTATCTCAGAAGTACTGAACATCGATAACAGACTCATTAACATAAAAAAGAAACCCCCATTCCCAAATGAGATCACCTCCTAGGCATCTCATTGCTTTCCAGTCAAAACTGACTTACAGCTGTCACTGCATTGAATTTCTATAAATCACACTGGAGGAGACTGCCCATCTTTCTCCGTCAGAGGCACTGGTAGATTCAGACCACCAAAGAGAGGAAAATTAGTGCAATTAATTCCCTCCAGCCTGCGGCAATAGGCGTAAGAGTTAGAATTCTAACACATGTTTAAAAAACAAACAACAAAAATACACTGCCATCCAGTCCATTATAACTCATAGTGACCCTTTATCAAGGAAGACTCTACAGTCGCTTTTCAGAGGAGCCACTTGTGGATTTGAACTGACAACCAATGTGTTAGCAGCACAATACTCTGTACACTATGCTACCACAGTTGAACTCCTTCCATCATGTTTCTTGTTATATGTGAACCTCCAGTGGGTGTTCAGAAACTGTAAATTGCACAGGAGGCGATTACCCTTTTGTCTCCTGCAGAGCTGCTGGAGTGGAATCAAACCACATCCCATTGGACTGAGAGCACAAATCCTTACCATCAAGCCCCCAGAGCTCCCACTATCATGTTTGTTGTTGTTGTTGTTGTTGTTATGTGCCATCGAGTCACTTGCGACTCATAGCAACCCTATGTACAAGAGCCCTAAATGCCATTCTATCCTTTGCCAACCTCGACGTCTCAAACACACTCATTCCCACCACTCCACTCACAGAATCGAGCCATCTCATCGAGGGTCTTCCTCTCCTGTGCTGCCCCTCCACTCTGCCAAACATGATGTCCCTCTCCAAGC